TTTAGGCAACTTGCTGTAATTCCCAGGACTCTGAAGTATGTGTAAGTGGAAAAACTTTGCTTCTTGAATATGACTTGGAAAATTCCATGCTTATGGTAAGTTGCAAAAACCAGCACTGACCGCAGAAATGAAACAGCAAGACTTATACACAGTAAAACAGCGGAATATTGATTATTGCAGAAATATCTGACATCTGTGAAACGAAGTACCAGACGTGTCAGCCAAGTAAAAGTAGGCAAGGCCAAAATTGACTGCCTGCGGGTAGGAGAAACATGTCTATGGGAAGCGGCTATGGCTACTAGCCAGTAAATTTCATTCTATGGGTGAATGTGCTCCTTCAAGCTACAGCCATATAACTTTCCATCTTCATCTGCAGCTTACCTGGTTCAGCAGAAACTCCAGCACTCGGGGGCTCTGCACCACCACCTGCTGTGCCGTCTCCGAATTCCGGGTTAAGACTTTGGTTGGGGTTGAATGACCTTCGCCGACCTTTGACCTTGTGCCGGCCTGGACCAGGTCAGCCGAGGACGATGCCTTTGGGAGGTTGGGATAGCCTGGAATGTTGTCCAGTTGGAGGTACTTCTTGATGGCCTGAAGGGTTTCAGTGGTGCAAGCTTCATGTCTACCAACAAGAGGCAATTTGTGACACGGTAACTGCTTGTATTATTTTTTTTATTCTTGAAAAAAGGAGAAAACGCAGCAGTCAACTATTGACATACAGCCAAATGCCACAAATACAGATTCGCAAGTGCAATATTGGCTATTGTTGTAGTCAAGACCTCTTCAGACCTTCACAAGAACTCTCAAGACCTTTACAAGACAATCACAAGACCTTCCACAAAACCTCCGTTCTGAATTCTAGTCACAAGCTCTTCAAATGAACTGCAACAAAAGCATTCCTCTGTCATTGTTCACACTGTTAGTTGTGATTGGTATTGTGCATGGTATTGTGTCTGGTCTTGCAAATGGTCTTGTGACGGTCTGCACAACAACACGGTCGTGCAGAGTGGCCAAGCTCAAGGTGAGTCGAGGCGCCCTTGATGTTTCAAAACATCAGCAGTGCCTGTGTGTACAGATAGGTCATCCTGTGGTGTGAAGTAGTGCAGTAGGCTAGCAAGCTAGATTAACCCCTTGACGACGGGAATTTCTTTCTGAAAGCCGACTCCAAGAATTCCAGCCTCGCTTGACCATNCACCATATATGAAAGAGCCAGGGTCTGCCTTCTTTCACCGTATTCGCTCGAGCGTGGGCCTAGAATAATAGCTCAAAAGCGGGCTGAGGATCTCAATTTTTACGGCGGCTCTAGCCGCTTCCCGGCACGGAGGGGTTAATGACCATGATGGGCTAAGCTAAAACTAACTGTGAAGTCGGGGCTACTGCTCATCCCAAGCAAAGGAATGACACACCATGCCAGGGAACAAAGCATACCAGTTGCTGCCTTGGGCAGGTTTGAATGACTACAGTTACTTCTGGTTCGAATGACGTCAACAAAAAGATGGATGGTTTGGACCAGTTGGTGGACCATTTGGAACGAGGCACTGGGCATGAACACCAATGCTGGTCATCAGTAATCAACTTAATTTGTCAGCATGAGGGAAACCATTTATATGAAATTGAATTTGTGAGATGTCAGTGAGGATGAATGCTGCGAGAGCTGCAGCCAATGGAATAAAGCAAGTGAAGATAAGAGTTTACTAAATGACTAAAACTGGGGCCATTTGAGGCCATTGCGCAATATTTAACACCACTGACCAGAGGTGGAACTACAGCTCAAGCCCAACATTGCCCCATGATGTCTTAAAGCAGAGCCTACCTGGCATCGGCTGCGGGCAGGCAGGCCGTCATCCAGCCAAAGGATCTACCCGACTGGTCCTGGATCCACCTGCACAGTCCCGTGATGGCATGGGGGCTACGGAGCTGGATCAGGCTGGCTACGATTCGCAGGGAGGTGTCCTCAAACAAGTGACCCTGTGACGGAAAAGGGGGAACGATGCTGAGATCGGATTGGAACTTCTGGGCTTTGAAATTTGATTGGGCCTGGTAAACTTCATTAAAATACTGTAACAGGAAAGAAACAGTGATAGGATTCTGGCTGGAGGGTGCATAAATTGAATCGTTGCATAATGATACCAAGTCTATCGCCACCATTTTCACAAAACGGACAGGTATGTGAAGTTGGATAAAAGGAACGCACTGGAAGGGGGCCTCTGTCCTTTTGTGGGAATACATATATCTTTTAAAAGTCAAATATTTTATGAAGTGCCTTTCTCACAGCGGATATGAAACAGAGAACTACCACCAAAGAAAATGCACTGGAAACTGACTGGATCATGTTTTGAAAAATTCAACAAACAGAGAGAACTCGCTGAGAAGAAACGGAAACTAAAACTTCCAGAAAGACTCGGCTTCTGAGTATGAATTAAGACTACAAATGTACCAGAGAAAGATTGAAAACTGACTACAAGTACAATAGAAAAGGCCATAGCTAACTTGTAAATTCCCAAGGAGAACCGAGCAAATGCCAGGACAGTGTCTTGGGGTTTCTGACGCGATGAAACTTCATTCTCTAAGTTCTAATGCATCCTTCCAATGAATTTAACAAATTGTAAGCTACTCACAGTTGTTTTGTTCTTGGCGACAAGGTCACTGATCCTGATAAGGCCATGCCTGAGTGCGACAGCATGCTGGCCGCAGTTGGCTGCGGCAGCCAGCGCCAGGCAGCGGATGTTGCTTAGCCAGTCCTGGCAAGTGGCTCGGTTGGTGCGGAAGAACGTCCTCACAGCCTTGAGGAGGGGAAGGGGATCACATGGCACACAAAGAAAACAGAAATCATTTGAATGTCTCTGCAACTGTTCACAAGATGGAGAGAACATCTGTGAGCTATTTCAGATCTACTGAGTGAAAAAAAGGGCCAACTCCAGGGAGAAAATCAAAAGGAAACAAAACTCAAAACTTTTCCACCAACATACTGCTGGATAGCTCAGTTGGTAGAGCACCGGTTCAGTATTCCGGAGGCTGCAGGTTCAAATCCCGCTCTGGTCAATTTCTCTGTTTATCTTTATAAAACGTTTCACCTGCATTGATTAGAAGTTGAAAAACGGGGGAAAATATTGTGTTCACTGTTCAGCACTGTGCAAAGGGTCTATTTTAATTATGCTGTTACAAGTATAAGAATCTCTAAAAAAATTTTGGAAGATGAAGGTGATATATCCAGAACACATACGTGCATTTTCTAGAAATGAGCCTTTAACAGTTTTCAGTGAATGAAATTTCATAATCTAATATCTGGTGTGTCTGGGCCTCAAGCTGGACGGCACTATTTCCTTAGCAACAGAGGCTCCTTTGGTACTAACTAACTACGCATCGCTGGTTCACGAATGACTAGGAAACGCAAGCGTTGAAGTAGCATCAAAATGAGTACTCCCAACGTTGGTCGGCTCTTTTCAGTAAATGAGAGGTGCTTCTGCTCAAGGTGGATTACACCAGAAGTGCCGCATACCTTTGGTGTTGAAGGCATGGCTATGAAGCATCCTTCGTAGGCGTTGTACATCAACTTCTCAAGATGCTCCAAGAACTGCAGCAGGAGCACTGGTCTGAGTTGATGCAGGTGGTAGGCAGGACTCAAAACTGAGGTAACAAAAAATGATGCAAACAGTAAAACAAACCTGTAACTGAATCCCACGAAATGAGTCATAATACTATTTTCTTGGTAACGAGTTTTGGTTAGAGAGAGCAAACTCAGCTCTTCATTTTGATGTGTTACTTCGTCTGGTATCCTGAGGAAAATGGACATTATGTGGCAGACAGAATGCTGAAGGTTACTTTCCATCTTCATTGTGCTTCAACAGGTTCAACTGGGAGGTTGTCAGATCAAAAAGTCAAGGAGAAAATTTTTCCATCTCGTTTGCAGACAGCTCTCTTATAGATGGAATTACAACCAACGTGAAGTGATCAAAACACTCAAATGTTGATCACATGTCTGACGATTACTCCGATTCCCACTATCTTCTACAGCTGAGTGGCTGGGAATTTCGATTAAATGAAGGCTATGATCGTTAGGCAAACTGCCATGTTGTTGAAGGTTTTCAGTGAGTATAAGGAAAATTACCTGACAAACGAGAAAATACTTTGCCAACATCTCATGTCATAATCTACTTACCTTTGCAATCTGCTTTAGAATTCCCTTCTGTCTGGCATTTGGGGTCTCGTCCAAAGTCCAAGAGAGCCGCTGTAAGCAGGACCAAAAAAAAATCAAGTACTGGAATGAATAAAAATTTCATTAATCCATGTCCAGCATCAACACTTCATCTACCCTCCATCATCCGGGATATTTGGAGAGCTAGATCCAATATTCTTTGCTAAAAAAAAAAAAAGGGTAACGTTTATCTCTTTTGACATGTTGGCACAGCAATCAAATAAATGTTGACTATTTTGATGTACAGATGTTTCTTATTCTCTTCGGGATGAAAAGTTCCTTGTCGAGTGTGCAACATGTCTGAACCCTCCTATGCTGAAGTCACTCTTTGGGTCACTTGGTAAACACCTCAAAGAAGCACAGCTGTGTGGTGTTGTGCACTGCACCAACAGTCCCTCACAGGAATATCAGATTGCACTTATGTGCTGCCCAACAACTGTGCTTCACTGTTTCATGTGTATAATTGTGCAGTAAACCAAATGCAGTGAAGAGGACTGCACAAAAGACCCTGGGTCACTTTGTGCTGGCAACCCTACTGTGGACACACTGCACCTGTGCATGTTTGTGTTCCATGTAGAAAATACATGCACAAGAGTGACTGTGGGCATTTGTGCACATTTGTGCTGTAAAACCAAAGGAGGGTTAAGGGTCCTATTTTACCACAATCAACGGTTGTTGAATATCTCTGGTGAAGGGAATGAGAGTCGGCGTACCTTCTATAGCTCTGAATGTTTCCTGGGGTTTCCCTAGGGGCGTTCTCAGCCTTGCCAGGACACAGTACTGGGCTGCCTCCCAGGTGGCCCAGAACCACTGCAGGGCGATGTTACCATCAATCTGAAGAACAAGAGTACAGAACGGTGCTCCTGAGTTCTTTGCCGCCTTGCTCATTTGCCAACATGTGTTCCTCTACGTATACCTGATTGGTGTACTTGTATGTGCTGGGTCAGTTTCTATCCATTCTCTGACTGCAGACCTAGCCTCCTCAAAAATAGTCCAGTCCCATATTTTAATAGACTTGTTAACGACGCTCTGAATGCACCTCCATCATTATCATCATCATCATAATCGTCTTTTCTTAATCCATGTTTTAAATTTGTTGTAAAATGTTTAATTGGATTTGTGTGTTTAGTTTTTTGTGCATTTGCTGTGTCCTTGTAACATTTTAGCTGACCTCTTATATTCTGTATTTTACGGATAAATGTTGTATGTGGTTCATATTTGTAATTTTACTTATTGTGAATTTTTTATTTCAGTCTGTACCAGTTTGTTTACATTTTAATGTTTGTAAACTGTCTCTAAATTCAGCCATCTGGCTGCAATGAGCAGGTTCTTAATAAACCAATGATAATAAATAATAATAATAATCAAAGTCATTACAGGACTAGGGGAAATCTTCAAGGCTACACACGAACTTATACTGATTTGGGGCGATGTCCATGGCACTGGACGCAAGTCTAAGAACTGGAAATTAACCTGTTAGCTTGGATGGATAAAATTTCTTGAGCAGGTGGGGGTCAAAACTGTAAGTTCAGACGTCAAAAATTTGATGACAAGTTCTTAGATAATCTTCTTGCCCATATGTACAATGTGGAGAATTCTTAACTTTCAATGCATGTGATGTAGGCCTAAAGCCAAGGAAGACCATTTTTGATAGTGGTACACCAGGCTCAACAATGTCAAATAAGCCATTGGCAAGTTAAATTTGAATAAAATCTGGTACACTGAGTTCTTTATATTCAGGTGAACATAACAATATGAATTCACCATACTAAAAGCACTGTTGCTATACCTCGTGATTCTGGGCAAGCTTTTGCTCAGTTCCATAAGAAACGCCTTGCACCAATTCACCATTTTCAATGGGTAAGAAGGGCACAAGGAACCAGTCCATTCCAGAAATAGTGGTCGCTAAGCAAAAGCTTGCCCTGAATCACAAGGTATAGCAACAGTGTATTTAGTCTGGGGAAACCCATATTATGTTTAAGTGCAATATGATAACTCAGTGTGCTAGATTTCATTCAAATTCAGCTCATAAAAGCAATTTTGAAAGCTTTGCTCAAATGACAAAGGGGTACCATTAGTTTCAACAATAACTGGTCAGACACAAAGTTACAGCCACGAGTTTGGAAAATGTACAACTCAGCAATCAGCCCTGGAGTCCAAGGTTTGAATCACTCACAAAATCAGGCAGGGTGATCTCTCCACGGTGGTTACCACTCTTGTCAGGCCTTTGGCAACTGTGGTATAGTTTCTCCAACCATTCCGGGTCACTGAATGTCACAAGAAAAAACACGTTCTTGTTTTTATCTACTTTCCAAGAAAACAGTGTTCCCTTCCTTGAAGATTACTCTGTGAGTATCATATCCAGGACTTGCTTTTTGAGCCACAACTTTCTGGACTAACTGTGAAAACGAAACTTATGCATTGTTAGTTTGAATTTGAAAAGTACTTATTTGGAAAGATTACAGGCAAGTAAAGTAAAAAACATGATGGTTTACTCTTATAAATGGGACAGTAAACAAAAACTGTAATGATGATGAAAGTTATCTGATGGATCAACAAGATTTGGTCAACAAGGAGCTCAAATGGAACAAAAGGTTCAACAAGTTTAAGTTCAGTCTCAAAAATGTAAAATATAGGTAATACGTCGTTGGAATTGGTCAAACCGTCAAATGGGAATTCGATGCCCTGACTCCACTCTTGACTGTAATCCTCCATTAGTGTGGCAGAAAAATTTGCTAATTTACATTTTACAACAAAGTCTCCACCTGTACGCCTAAGAAAGCTCAACATGAGAAAACAAGATCAGTATTTCAAACAGATCCTTCTGGCGACTGGTGAATGGCTGGCATTGGTGCACTCAAGTGGTGGTTAAGTACCTGGGTGCTTCTCCGAGGAGTATGAAGGCCAGGACCGTTCTGAAATCCTGGGAGTGGAATGTGCCCATGGGCGTCCTGTTGATGTGGCTACGCCGGGCCAGACGGAAAGCCTGCAGGCCCTGGGGATCCTCCTCAGAGAAGGTGACTGTTGCCTGTTTGCGTTCACAGAGACGTTTGGCCTGGGTCAGAGGGGTGGTTTCGCTCCTGAAAGGGTGGACATCAAGAATTTATGAACTTTCTTGAAGGCTAATTTTAACGCGAAGCGATTCTGATTTACTCTAGGTGAAGCTCAGGGGTTAGCGATAACGTCACTACAGAACCAAATCAGTCAAGAAATTCCTTGCTGTTAACGAATTAAGGAAGAATATTTGTATTGAACAAGGAAATGAGTAGTCATTATACGTATTAAGACAAATATTAATGCTGAGTTGAAGTGACAGTACTCCCAATGCAAAAGTGCCAGCATTTTACTCTCAATACTGCAGGTCATTTCTACTTATGCCATGTTACATGAAAGAAACTTCACTAGTCACCAAATGCGCAAAAATCAGTGTACGTATCGAAGAAAGGATTAAGTTCCCAGCTGTTGTCAACCTGTACCTCTACCTAATGAAAGCTATTTGGCTGGTTTAAAAACAAGTGTGGGTTCTTCGCCTGGACTGTAGGTAGTCCAGTTAGCATGATATTATCTGCAGCCTCTTTATCTGCCTTGAGCAGAAGCACCCCCTCATGGGTTGAAAAGAGCCGTGTTGGTCAGGAGTGTTCGTTTTGTTGGTAGCGATGCGACGGTGACGCATGCATTTCCAAGTCATTCATCAACCAGTGAAGTTCAGTTCCGAAGAAAAGGAGTGTCCACTGCTAAGGAAATAGCGCCCTCTCTTGGTCCAGCTCGAGGCCCATATTGTGAAGCACTGCTTGACTGATTGTATTTCTTTTACCCACCTGAGGAGGATGTCACTGGGTATCCTGGCTAACAGGGATGTGTAGGCCTTCCTGACAACCTCGTTGGTACTCAGTAACTTCACTTTACACATCTCAAGACACCTGCAGGTGATGAGTTTTCAAGAACAGTTGACTTCAAGGGAGTGCCATGCCAGAGCAATCCAGTTTCAGTAAACTTTGCATATTCTACAGAAATATATCAGGGGAGTCGGGTTGGCATGGTGGTTCTTGCCTCGCCTTCCACCTCTGCGGTCCGGGTTCGATTCCCGGCCTGGTCTACATGTGGATTGCGTTTTATTTCCCTACCTGATTTTGCAGGTTTCACCCAGAATATTCCTCTGGGGTTTTCCTCCCACCTTTAAAATTGTAACTGCTTCTCACTGTCTCCTCTCTACAGAATTCTTCAGGCTAGTGAGCTTTAGCGCCTAGGGCGCTTTTGAGAAATCTTTGGTGTAATTGATTCATGCCTCTGTTACAACAAGACTCGATTATTGCAACAGTTTACTTTTTGGCCTGCCCGAACGTGAACTGAGGAAGTTGTAGGTTATTCAAAACTCAGCTCCGTGTCTTGTCCCAAGGATTAAAAAATCTGACCATATCACCCCAATAATGAAACGTCTGCACTGGCTTCCAGTAAATAAGCAGTTGGAATCTAAAATTGCTTGTCTTGTCTACAAGATTATAAAAGGAATAACTCCAGGCTATCTATGTGACTTACTAGTCGTTCAATGGAGTACACGTACATGCACCCTGAGCTCGACAACTTCTGCAGTAGTTTGCTTACAAAAGCCAATTTGTAAAACTAAATGCTATGGTGATCGTTCTTTCACAATAAACACCCCTCAATTATGGAACAGGCTAGCAATAGCAATTTGATCTGCTGACACTTTGGGAATTTTTAAAATGTACTTGAAAATGCATCTTTTTAAGGATTATTATTTGCCTTGTACTTGTTAGTTTTAATTCTTCTGTCTTGTTCTATAACTGTTTAAATTATTATTTTTTTTTATTTTTTTAAGTCAATTTAATTTCTTAATTTTTAATGTACAGCACTTTGTGATGTCATTGACATGGAAAGGTTTTTTAAAATAATTCATTATTATTATTATTAAGAAAATATCTAATAATATTTCCAAATAGGTCACTTGGGAGACATTTTGTGGTAAATTTTTCAACATTAGAGAGACATTGGTCATAAGGGAGACATTTCCATGCTCCAACTACCAAAAGGAGGAAAATGTTTAGTGTTCACATTTTGAGAGATGATAGATTAGGGTCTGAAAGGAAAACATGTAAAGTTTGGTTAAGATCGGATTAGGGAATATTGAATTATGGGACGGTAAAGTTTGAAAAATTTTGTGCACGTTCCTATGGGAATGTCTCCCAAGTGATCAATTTTCGGTAATTGAAATAATAGTAATAATAACATCTTATTTTTAGCTTCAGGGGTTTAAAGGGGTCTTTCTTACCCCAAGAGGAAGTCCGTGCATGGTTCCCCGCAACTGAGCACCAGCTGGAGACACTGGCAGGCTCCCAAGCAGATGTTGAGCTCCTTGCTGTGGGCTACGCAGAGTCCAACAGAAACAAAATTTAACCTTCTGAATATCTTTCACTTCATTTTTTGAGTCACAGTTTTGGACATTCACCGTGGACAAAAGCTGCTGACATCATCTAGACCTGCTTGATGTTCAATAGACTTTGTGTCTCAAGCACAAACATTTATTATTGCATGTCTATCTTGATGCGCACTATCAATGCCTATTTCACTGTACTGTATTTCACTATTTCACAATCATGTGATTGTGGGATCTTACATGCATTTATATGTGCCCCCATTTATATGTGCCCCATTTATATGTGCCCCCATTTATATGTGCCCCGTTTATATGTGCCCCGTTTATATGTGCCCCGTTTATATGTGCCCCATTTATATGTGCCCCATTTATATGTGCCCCATTT